CCCCAAAACCCCAAAACCCCAAAACCCCAAAACCCCGCTTTAATGAAAATAAGAAATTAATGTGGAAAATAGCAAATCAAATATATTCATTTAAAATCTCAACATATAATATAATGAGTTTCAAGAGCCAGAAGAATGACTTAACTAACCTATACTTATGCTTTCATCACTCTAGAATTCTTCATCATCACTTTAGTTATTAAGTTTAGTTGTTTTCTACTTTTAATTTTCAATAAGAATTTTTGAAGATAACTCAATGAGGTCATCTTCATAATCAGTTTCACTCTCAATATCATCATTTTACTTAGCTTGTCTAACTTTCTCAGAAACAAGAGGAAATAGTTGTTCTAAAACCATTTCAATTTTAGTCTCTAATGGTAAAGGTTCTCCTTAGTACTTGACTTATCCTAGTCTTCCTAAAAACTCTAGGAATTCATGAAAAGGCATTCTCTTATACTTCCAAATATCTTCCATTTCTTAAACAAAAGTACTCTTCGAATATGCAAAAGCTGTAGTAATTTCCTCGCTTGTCATATTAAGAGTAGTTTCATGTATCATATCAATAGCCGTTTCATACTCTAGTTGCTTTCTCCCCTGACACATATATTTATACAGCTGCTTAATTCCATTCATATTAGCTTTAAGCAAGTCATCAACCTCTAGTGACCATAACTCTTCAAGTCTCCAACCTTCAGAGTCTATCTTTTCAACAGCATTCTCGACCAGATGATCTTAAATTAGTTTAATTAGACCTTCATTAATAGTTCTTAATGGCCCTTTTTCAACATACTTTGAGAAAGCCATTCTCACTAAAATCTCAAAGAATTCATATCTGCAAAGTGATCTATCAAGGTTCTCCTCTAAATCAATAATCTCAACATTAACAGCAATAAATAATCTATCAACAGTGCTCATCGGTAAATTTTTATCAACAACTTCCCACTACATATATAAGGTAAATATAATAATTACTGTATCACAAACTTTGGCAAAATCCATCCAAGATACTTAAGGATATCCACTCGAACTAATAGCATTAATAAACTGATTCTTAATAATTCCATAGTTATTCAACAAAGTCTAGCATAAGTCTTAAAACTATAAATATTAAGTTATCGAGATCTTACATCCTGTGTATCCTTAACAAATCTCCTGATCTTGGAAAATTTCATATCGTATTCAAAGCATTTTTTATAAAGATTCTGATTGTCAACCTAGCAATCTCTGAACACACTTTTCTCTTTGATGAACTCTCTTTTTTCTACAATCTTCTTGACACACTTATAACCAAGAGGTATATCTATTTCTCGCTTTTGTAGGTATAGGTTCAAGTAATCAATTTTCTAGTCATTATCTCTCTATTTAAGAATGACATTTAGCTTTCTTGGAGGAAGGTAGCAAGAATACACATATACTTGGTCATAAACACTTGATAAGCCAAAATACTTTTCAATATCTATCATTCCTTGTGCACTGTTTTTCTTTATTGCTCCTTAGTAAATAATAATATTCCAAGGCTTCTATTTATATCTGCTTCCTGGCAGTCTTTTAGTTTGCTTTTGAAAATTTGAGAATGAAGCTTAGCTATCAAAAGGTGAAGGTGATCCCGTTGAGTTAGCTACACTTTACTATCGGTTTAGGTTTTATAGATTATATGTACTTAACAGTTTAGACTGATAGAAATGATCTCTTTAGTTGAATTAATTTACAAACTCTTTAATTCTAGAATCCTCGATATCTCTTTAGGTATTTCTTGTGTATCTGCCAGTATTATTGTTTAGTCTATATATAAACTCCTCTAACTTCATCATTGGTTCTACATCTTAACCCTGAATTTTTATATACACTTATTTATTATCTTTGTAATAGCTCTCGTCAAACTCCAAATGCTATTTCTCTGTTTAAAGGCAGTTAAATGAGATCATCCTATTCCAAAAGAAAATGCAATAAGTATGCTTTTGGCAAATATAGCAATCTTTTGAATCTACCTCTTGCCATCTATACCCATCCTGAATTTCCTGATTACCTAGATATCTGATGAATGCGAATCTGTCAGACTAATTTTCTTCTACCAAGGGTCTCCTAATATGCTCTTCAATCACTTACTTCCTCCTTAGTTTTATTCTTTCAAGATTATACTCTGTTTATGATATTTAATCTGCTTTCTATTATAGCTTGACATGATAATCTTCTAATTACTTATCAAGTTAATGGCCTTCTTTCATGAATTTTTTTACTCTTAGAATCAATCTTAGCTGTTTTAGGGTTTCTTATGATATATTATTGCAAGCTGTGTGAACGGATAGCAAAGTTTTAGATCTTTTAATGCCTCTTTTGAAAATGTAAATTAATTAGTCATGACTAAGATTCATTCCACTAATGTTTAAATGCTATAAGCACATGTTGTGTTTAAGATAATTGGACAGAACATGATTGAATGTCAATAGATCTTTGTTTTACTAAGTTTTTGAGTCAAAATTATAGGAAATATCTAGGTATTTTAACTGCAATTTATTATTACTTGAAAGAGCTTCAATAAGTTTATTTAGCAATGAAAATTCTAGACTGTTGTAAGATACATCAAGCAATCTTAGTTTGTCAAGTTAAGGAACTAACAAACTAAGGGATGAAATCGAGCTTTAATCAAGCTAGAACATTTTTGATAAAGTGATTTATTCGAGGTCAAAGATTTTTTTCGTATTTAGAGACATATTCTTTAATAAGGTTTTGAATTTCAACTGTGGTATATCTTTTGATTAGCCAGTTGGCTATTAATTTTGAATATCCTTTATTGTTAATGCACGTAAAGTTGTCAAGCAATCATTCTACAGCAGCTCATTTAAAGCATATATAGAATGGCCTCCGAAATTGTTTTGAAAGTATCCGATCTCCTTAATATTTTTGGTATTTTTAAGTCCTGATAAAATTAGTGCATAATCTTGATCAGACATTCCATTATTAATCAAATAAATTCTATTAATCTTATAAGGCACTAAGTATGCTATAGAAAGCTAGAGGGCCTTAGCCAAACTTGTGTTCATATGATAGTTATCTAGATAAAGAATTTTCTTTTAAACTTTCTTCAAAATAGGCAAGGGCAGCTAATTCTCATCTTTACAAGATGAGTTGTAATCGAATTCAGCCATGACTTTACTTATCTCTCTAGAGTCTTCAACTCCAAATTAAGAGGCTATTTCTTTTTGCAGTTTTGATTAAATTTCTTTCTGTTTCTTCTAAGTCTCAACTGCATTTAATAACTACTTTATCTTGACAACAACATTAATGTCCTAAGAATCATGGCCATGATGGTTCATATCTAAAGATTTTTCAGATTATTTAGAGACATCTAATTTTTATTGATCTAAATTAATTCTAAGTTTTTAAATAAGGGAGGCATGTAAATCCTTATCTCTTGACATTAGGTTTATTCTGTTCATTTGATTAATTCTTTAATTATTGAAAATATCGAAACCATTTGTTATAATTTTCCCACTCTTCTTAGATTTTTGAGGAGTTGTTATTATAGAATCAGCCCTAGATGTTAAATGATTGGACATTGAAGATAATCTCTTCGCATTTTTCATCACATTAACCACATTTTAAAGTGAAGGTCTTTTTGAGTTAGCCTAAGTTTGAGGCATATTCAATTAAACTCAAATTTTATTGCTGTAAAATGAATTTTGCATTGGAACTAATTATAGGCTTGCCTTTGAATTTTCTTAATGAAAATTAAGCTAGCTTTGTATATCTCTATTAATATTCTCTTCATCAACATTTTCAACTATAAAATTTGGATCCTTTACTATCATCGACTATTTTCTTTTACTATGAGGCAACCTTATAGACTTTCTCTTTGTGTGAGTTTCCACTTTTACTTATTCATCTTCTTATTATTTGAAGTTTTCAAAAAGAAATTTAGACATTTTCTGGAGTTTATACTTAAACTCAGCCTACTTAATGCTTTACTTGTGAACCGGCTTTACCCACTTATCGAATTCCAATTTTTACTTTTGAATTTTTTCACATTCATTTTGAAAATAAAGTGACTGTGGATCTGTTTCCTCAACACTTCTATTATGACTATAGTATGTAGATCCTTAACCTTGTTTAATTTAAGGGAAATCAATGGATTATGAGTGAAACTTCCTATTCTTTTTTACACCTGCTGCCAACTATATTTGCCTGTCTCTTATAGATTGTCTATGTCCTTCATTTGAATAGACCTCCATGTATTTTTGAAGCATAGGATTGTCTTAAGAAGTTAAAATAATAAATAAACTTACGATTGGATCCCATAATTGAAGAATTATTAATATCATAACTCATTAATGATGCTCTTCCTGTAATTATTCCATTTCTTTCTTCATATTTCATAAAAGAAGGCATTTAAGTTAAGTTATCAGAGAGCATTTTACTTTATTCGCCAAGTCTACTTGAAGCTTTAGTTGTATTCATTGCTGTTCTTTCTCTAGGGACATAGATATGCTCTAGTTTAGGTGTAATTTTGGTTCTATTGAATTAAGAAGAGGCTCTCTCATCAACTGAATTATATATCAATGATTAATTATTCATAATTATTATAAAATATTGTCCTAATTCATTAATTTCATAATCTTACTTGAAACTAATTGATTTTATCAATAATTGAGTATCATGGGGTTTTGGGGTTTTGGGGTTTTGGGG